TAAGATATCTGTCTGTCCTTTTTCTCAGGTACCAAAAACTGTGGAAGAGTTATGTGAAACTTCGCCACCTCCTAGCAAACAGTCCCAAAGTCAAACAAACTGACAAACAGAAACTGGCACAGAGGGAGGTCAGTGTTGAACCTTGTTCTTTGATGATTAATGATGATGCATGTTAGATACATTTCAAGATTGTTACGTCACACTATGCTCTAGAATAAGGTGGAAAAGTACTTTTTAGAAATCATACTTCACTGTCCTTCCTATGTTAGAATTCTGTTTGCTTGAAAGAAATGTTTTGTGTATCTAAGGGAATGTTTTTACTGGCCTAAAAAGGCCAGTTTTTTAATGAATTACTACATTTGGGAATCAAACATATCTTTTTTTTTTGTTTTTGCAATGCTGAACCCAGGACCTCATGTACTTGTATGCTAGGCAAGTGATCTACTACTGAGCTATACCCTAAAGCCTTTAAATATATTCTTTATAGAAATTGAAGAAAACTTACCATTTGCTAAATCAGCCTTTAGTGTATGTTACTCAACATTAGGTTTTACTAAGATTTCTTTGTTTTAAGGTTGTAAAAGGTTGTCTTTCCATTAATCTGTCAGTTCAGCAATGAGAACTTAATTTGTAAGGTTTCATATTTCTTTACTAATGAGTAATATTACCCCTGTATTCCAGGGTTTGTGTTTGAGTTTAACTTCTAAGAATAAATGCATTTAGTATTAACACAGGTTTTGTGTTTTATTCTGTTGTGGTAGTGTAAGAGCAAGGCCTAGAAGCTGGGAAAACATTTGCATTCTGGCTTTGTCACTTACTGTGACTTGAGTCATCGGGCTCTTTATAAAGGAGGGCACTAGGGCTGAGAGGATGACTGAAATGTCTCTCTGTTGGTGCACCCAAGTAAAAAGGTGGTTGTGTAGACTTCTGAAATGCTCCGTTTAACATCCCTCCTCTTGTGGTATTTGGCCCATGATAGAAACTAAATCAATGGTGGTAGTTTCTGTTGTTGTTAAATTCCTATGCAATATTTTTAAATTGCATGCATATAAATATAAAGTTGTGTTTTAATAATTATTTGAAGAGTAGTTAAATGAAAGAATCCCTGAAACACTTCTCACAGGTGAAGTTTTGAATTATATGATTTTTTTATTTTGTGGGTTTTTTTTTTTTTTTTTTTTTTTTTTGGCAGTACTAGGGATTGAACTCAGGGAATTGTACTTGGTAGGCAGGTGCTCTACTACTTGAGCCACTTTGGCAGCTCTGTGTTTTGTTTTTTGAAACAGGGTCTTGCTACGTAGCCCATAGCAAGTCTTGCCTTACCCTCCCAAGTGCTAGGTCTATAGGTGTGGGCCACCAGGCCTGGCTTCTCTTTTTCTTATTCTTGAATAAAATGTACTTTTGCAGCAAGAGTATAAG